TGTAGCCACGCCCAGAGACCACACATCCCATGTGTAACCACACCCAGAGACCACACATCCCATTTGTAGCCACATCCAGAGACCACACATCCTATTTGTAGCCACACCCAGAGACCACACATCCCATGTGAAGCTACACCCACAAACCACACATCCCATTAGTAGCCACACCCAGAGACCACACATCCCATTTGTAGCCACGCCCAGACACCCCACATCCCATTTGTAGCCACACCTAGGGACCACACATCCCATCTGTAGCCCACACCCACAGACCACACATCCCATGTGTAACCACACCCAGGGACCACACATCCCATTTGTAGCCACATCCAGAGACCACACATCCCCCATTTGTAGCCACACCCAGAGACCACACATCCCATTTGTAGCCACACACAGAGACCACATATCCCCCATTTGTAGCCACACCCAGAGACCACACATCCCATTTGTAGCCACACACAGAGACCACATATCCCATTTGTAGCCACACCCACAGACCACACATCCTATTTGTAGCCACACCCAGAGACCACACATCCCATTTGTAGCCACACCCAGAGACCACAAATCCCATTTGTAGCCACAGACCCTACATCCCATTTCTAGCCACACCCACAGACCCTACATCCCATTTGTAGCCACACCCACAGACCCCACATCCCAGTGGGAGCCCAGGCACAGAGATCTCACCAGTAGCAGAAGTCATGTCTACTAAACCTCCCAGCTATTCCCAGTGGCAGTAATGACAGAACTGGATTCAGATGAAGGTTACTGAACCTTCGGGATCAATGAAGGGGGAATCCTGACCTGTCAGGGGGAAGTCGGATCTTTCCGGAAGCCAGGCCAGACTCTTGCCATCCCAGCTGCGGAGAGGCGGTAGGGTGGAGTTCCCGTGCCTCATGTAATGGTCGTCGTAGAGCGACACCAGATGCCGGCCCCGGGGCTCCCGGTGATGGGACAGTAAATGTTGTGTCGGTAATCCCTACAATGAGAGAAGGAAATGGTTACTGTTGTCAGACATAGAACCTGGATGATGTATACAGAGCCCAATAACTGAAGCTCAGATCACACACACAGCTGAACGAGTCAGCCCGGTCCCACCAGTGTGATTTCAGATTGAATTCCTATCTAATGAATGTGAATGTCGGCGTCTTAACGTGCGATTTGCTGCGGCGCCATTTCTAAAGTCGTTCTCGTTTGACTTTCCTGCAGTTTTGTTGCAATTTCACATACAGTACATAGAATAGAATGGAAATCGCTCTGCAAACTGCAAGAAATCGTTGAAAATCTTCACAAGTAGCAATAAAGTCTTCAGAAATCGCACCTAAAATTGCGCTGAAATTGCACACAAACCGTATTGGTGTGACCGATGACCCCTCCCCCGCTCTGTTCACACCGCTGCTGTGTCTGACCCCTTCCTGCCGCTGCTTCCCGACCCTTTGAAATGCTGGGAGGTGGAGGCCGCCATTCCTATCATGTGACTGCTGTGATTGGCTGTCACAGCGGTCACATGACCCAACCCTCCCAAACACAAGTCTACATTGGGAGCTTCTCGTTTAGTCCCTGCTGGGGGCGCCCTCTCCGCACAGTAGACTGCTCACCTATAGATACACACTATATACAGCCGCTTGGTGTTAACGCCCACCTGCTGAGGGGCCCCGAATACGCATGCGGCCGGCGGGAAGGGGTACGAAAAAACTCTGAATGCTTTCCACCCTCGTCATGGGTGCTCCTTGCTTTCTATATCTATAGCGCCCCCTGTCCTGGGCTGGATACATTTAATGTTCCTGTAATGTCAGGTCCAAATCACATCCATCCAGACGAGGATCCGACTCGGAGGCGACTTCTATTGAAGTCTATGGGCACAAGTCGGAGAGAAGTCGCCTGGAAGTAGCTCAGGAAACCTTCTACAGTCGCAGAGACTTCAGTCCTTCTCACTGACTAGCATGAGATTTCACATCATGTGACTTGGGGGCCTCACAAGTTGGATCGGCAATGAGAAGCGAGCCTTAGCGTCTGCTTCTGATGAGTCCGCTGAGCTGCAATTTCCTGGGTCAGGTCTGGTCAGCGATCTCCCTAAACCCGCAGCTTGGTTGTGAGGAATATTCCAGCAATTGGAGGGTCAACTATGGATTCTGAGTGTTTGTTGGAGCCTAGCCAATCCCCGAGAGAAGAGGAATGTTTAGGATGTGTAGGACTTCCCTCGTGTGTTGTGGGTATCCCTCAGCTTCCCTCCGCACAGCCAGGCAACTGGTATTTCTCACACACACTTGCATCCATAGACAGTGACCAGTTGTAACGGACCCCAGACACCCACCAAGGGGATCCTCCGACAAGAAGCAGCTTCTCAGGCTCTGGAACACGAGATCAGTGACTATTGTTACCCCGAGATCCAGACAACACCAGGAAAAGTAGAACACAGATACAAGATATATACACTCAGGGAACAACCCCCCCCCCCCTGCATAATGACACAGGGCGGGGCAATCCCCCCTCCCTGCATAATGACACAGGACGGGGCAATCCCCCCTCCCTGCATAATGACACAGGGCGGGGCAATCCCCCCTCCCTGCATAATGACACAGGGCGGGGCAATCCCCCCTCCCTGCATAATGACACAGGGGGGGGCAATCCACCCTCCCTGCATAATGACACAGGACGGGGCAATCCCCCCTCCCTGCATAATGACACAGGGCGGGGCAATCCCCCCTCCCTGCATAATGACACAGGGCGGGGCAATCCCCCCTCCCTGCATAATGACACAGGGCGGGGCAATCCCCCCTCCCTGCATAATGACACAGGGTGGGGCAATCCCCCCTCCCTGCATAATGACACAGGGCGGGGCAATCCACCCTCCCTGCATAATGACACAGGACGGGGCAATCCCCCCTCCCTGCATAATGACACAGGGCGGGGCAATCCACCCTCCCTGCATAATGACACAGGACGGGGCAATCCCCCCTCCCTGCATAATGACACAGGGCAGGGCAATCTACATTCAGTAACAAGAGACACACCAGCAGACAGTCCCATCAGGAGGGAGGGCTGCTGGAGACACACCCCCACCCCCACCAAGCCAATACACAAACACATACATCCCATAATAGTTTGCTCCCAAGCCAGACACACAATAGAACAATGGGTTGCAGTCACATGACACCAAACAATCCACAACCCCCCCCCCAATATTAGGACAGATCCCCCTGTACCCTTAACAGGCACAGGGGGACTTACACATAAGAGGGATATGGGGAGCTGAGACAGGGGTCTCCCCACCTCTCCAAAGGGGGCTGTGTTCCATGGGCCCCCCACCCAAAGTGAGCCGTGTTCCATGGGCCCCCCACCCAAAGTGAGCCGTGTTCCATGGGCCCCCCCACCCAAAGTCACTCCCGTCACACCAGTCCATGGGTTGGTTCTGTTGTTTTATTTGGGGGATTCAGGTTGGACGGGTAATAGAGATTATGGGATGGACAGTCTGGCTGGAATCAATGGAAGGCGGACATTTCTCTCCTATGTACAGAGCAGATCCTGGACTGAAAGCCGCCGGCCATTGTGGATCAGCAGCGGCTGCCATTTAGGGGCAAAGAACTTGCAGCCCCTCAAAAATCAACTTTACTTCTCATAGCCACATGCAGAGACGTCTTCTCTTCCTCTACAGATCTGATTCCAGCTCCATGGCCTACAGACACTACCGGCCCTCCTGGCTGCTTGGAAGATCTCCCGGGACGAGGATGAAGGACTGAGCCCAGCGTTGTCCTTGGCAAGCTTGGTACATGTGGACACATCTCTCCCCTTGTAGATCACAGAGAGTGCTGCTGTACTCACTCTGTTCTCTCTGCTCCCTACTGCTCCCAGGCCTTGATCCTATCCATGCCTCTCCACAGAATGTATCCTCCTGAGCCAGCCCAAGTCCAGCCTGGAGGCTGCCCCCCCACTAGACCTAGGGGACCCCTCCTAGACTCCAACAGTCTCCTCAGCACTCCATCTTCCACTCCACTCCCCTGTCAGCCTGACTCTCCCATATTTATAGGCCAGTCCACCGCTCTACCAGGCTGGTTTCCCCATCAATATGCAGATAAGGGTCTCCATCCCTCCTTCTTACCGACTTTTGGAAGGTTCTATGGTCCTCCAGAGAAGGAGGAGGTGATAGAGCCACAACCTGTAGAGTTGTCTAGCTGACCTGCAATAACCCGACCTCAATCACATGACCCACCCAACTCCCATGAGTCACGCAATGATTTTACAGATGTGATCAGGGGGTCTCTCCTGGGGTCCCCCCCCCCAAAAATTGTCCTCCTCTGTATCTGCCTGTTTCTGAGAGGATCGGTCCCGGCACCTCTGAACAGGGAAGGGCGACCCAGAGGCTTCCAGATCCCCTCCCGGGGCGGAGATGTATTTATTGGTGTCAAATAACATTTCATTTATATAGGAAAAAAAACATTTTATATTGCCGATAAACCTGAGCGATGATTTGTAACCGAAAGCCGAGATCACAACGAAACTTTCTGATCTCGTGGGGGGGGGGGGGGGGGGGGGGGAGAGAACTGAGGACTGGAAACCCCACCTAATTCATTGTTATTATTCACAGGAAACTGCCCCATCCATCCATCCATGTCTCCATGCATCCCCCCATCCATCCATGTCTCCATCCATCCCCCCATCCATCCATGTCTCCATCCATCCATGTCTTCATCCATCCATGTCTTCATCCATCCCCCCATCCATCCATCCTTCCATCTGTAACTTCATCCAACCATGTCTCCATCCATCCACATCTCCATCCATCCATCCATCCACATCTCCATCCATCCATCCATGTCTCCATCCATCCATCCATGACTCCATCCATTCACGTTTCCATCCATCCACATCTCCATCCATCAATGTCTCCATCGATCCATCCATGTCTCCATCAATTCATCCATCCATCTGTCCATGTCTCCAACCATCCCTGACTCCATCCATCCATGTCTCCATTCATCCATCCATGACTCCATCCATCCATGTCTCCATGTTTCCACCCATTCATCCATTGATCCGTCCATGTCTTCATCCATCCATCCTTCCATGTCTCCATGTTTCCACCCATTCATCCATCCATCCACATCTCTATCCATCCATGTCTCCATTCATCCATCCATGTTTTATTTTGTTGAGCTCTCACTCTGAAAAACACCCCCCCTTTGAATTTCTAGCTGAAGCCATCTTGAGTAAGGGCAGGTGATTCATGTAGCATTTACTTCCTGGAATCCATCTGTCCTTAGCCCAGGCATGTAGGCAGGAGGGTGTGCTTAGCTGAGCCCCCGCCCCCGAAGACTCCTGGAATGTATGACATCATTTTGGCCTAGGCCAAAAACCAGGAAGACACTGAAGAAAAAAAATAATAAACCGAGTGAATCCAATCTCCGCCCCTTTCTATATACTATTAGTAGCAGTATACGGATCACACAGAGGCCATGATGGCTGAGTTTAGTTTGGCATCAAATCTGATTGGTTGGGTGATGGTGGCCGTTCATACATGAGACACTTTGATGAGAGAATTATTTCCTACTTGTGTAACAATGATGTCTGACCACTAGATGACGCCATAACATCATAATGCCACCATTGGAGCCAATGTATACAACAGAGAATGATGAGGATTTGGGGGTACACTCGTTTGTGGGGTGCGGAATGTTCGATGAATATGTACGGAGTAGAGCAGGCCAGGCAGACTGGAGAAAACTGATCAGGGCTGAGGAATGTTGGATCTCATTTTCATTATATGGACAGGGCACGTGGTCCCCGGTCCCAATGATGGAGTTCAGGTTTACCCCGGGGAGGGGTAATATTAAAGCTAAACTCCAGAGAAAACAAAGTACCAATAACAAGGACTGTTACTGTCCTCTTCTCTCACTCCCACAGCACCCTCCACCTCTCTCTCCTCCCCGATTCTCCGGCTTGTGGGAGGTTCCTCATCTTCAATGTAGAGCTATAGGTCCTACGCTGTACGTGATGACGTCAGAGTGCCTGTGACTGCTGGAGTGTCTTAGAGAAGAAGCTGCCAATCATATAGTATGAAGGGAGCCTGTGGGAGCGGAGAACCACCCTAAGGTCCTTTATAATGGTACCTTGAATGGCGCTCTTGTAGTGTGGGGGAGCTCGACTGGTACCTCTTGTAGTGTGGGGGAGCTCGACTGGTACTTATTGTAGTGTGGGGGAGCTCGACTGGTACCTCTTGTAGTGTGGGGGAGCTCAACTGGTACCTCTTATAGTGGGGGGAGCTCGACTGGTACTTATTGTAGTGTGGGGGAGCTCGACTGGTACCTCTTATAGTGGGGGGAGCTCGATTGGTACCTCTTGTAGTGTGGGGGAGCTCGACTGGTACTTATTGTAGTGTGAGGGAGCTCGGCTGTCCCCTTATGACTGTCCCGTGTACAAAGCCAGCTCCATAAAGACATGGATGACCAGTTCGGTGTGGAGGAACTCCAGTGTCCTGTACAGAGCCCTGACCTCAACCATACTGAATGCTGATGGTGATCCAGGTCTTCTCACCCAACATCAGTCGTGTCCTTGGAGGTTCATGATTAAAGAACTCTACCAATTATGGTAATGAAGTCATCTCGCTCCAGATTGGTCCACTATATGACCCAAACAATGTGCACTGCCCTTTAGATTACTGAGTTTAGGGGTCTCCAGTGAAGGGTCCTGGTAATCCTCCATCATACAAAGACATTGTAGATGATTGTGGTCTTCCAACCTTGTGGTAACAGTTTGGTGAAGACCCTTTTCTGTCCCCCCATGACTGTCCGCTGTGTACAAAGCCAGCTCCATAAAGACATGGATGACCAGTTTGGTGTGGAGGAACTCCAGTGTCCTGTACAGAGCCCTGACCTCAACCCTACTGAACAACCTTGGGATGAATTGGACCTCTGATGGTGAGCCGGGTCTTCTCATCCAACATCAGTTCTTCATCTCAACCCTACTGAACACCTGACTTGCTAACATCTCAGTCTCATCCCTCTGTCACCTCTGTTCACAGCTCTCACATATCACAACCCCAAATAAGGGAGACACTGTGATCTCAGGAAGCAGCAAAGTGCATCATGGGACTAAGCACCAGAACATTGGGAAGTCCAGGACATTTGTCATCTATGCAATGGGATTAGTTGGAACACCAATTGTGAGCCACATCTTCTCACCCAACATCAGTACCTGACCTCACACATGGAACAAATTCCCACAGACATCCTCCACAATCATCCGGAAAGCCTTCCCAGAAGAGTTGGGATGGTATAGAGGTCAACTCCATATTAATGGTCATGGGGGGGTGCTCCATGGTGGGGGGGGGGGGGGTTTTGGAAAGGGATGTCTAACAAGCTCAAGCAGTGTGATGGTCAGATGTCCATCTGACGTTGAATGCTACTAAGATCTCAATTTCCCACTGAAGATTGGGGAACAAAGAACTCCATCAGATGAAGATTGGAAGATCCAACCCTGCATAGCTCATCATGTCTTCCCACAGGAGGCCACCAGGGATTGGTTGGTGATGTGAACAGGGTCTCAGTGTAAGGAAAGAGCCGGGACAATAGCAGCGCAGGACCAAGTGGAGGGTCTTTCCAGGTCCCGTTAGGTGACAGAAGGAACAGAACCCATCTGAAGAATCCACCAATGTAAGACTTGGTGGCAGCATTTGGCATTCCAGTGAGGAGACCTCACCCCTACGATCCCCACACCCCGTCCTGTCCACCCCCCCCCCCCCCCCCATGAAGGAATCTCCGTTCCAATGAGGATCTGGAATAATTACCTCCATTCTTTTCAGATAAAATCTTCTCTGGATTCGGTCAGGTTTGCTCTCCGGGAACCGAACAAAGTCCATTTCATAGCAGCTGCTGGATATGGGGGGGTCACTTCTCCTGAACTAAGGAGAAGGATAGGAAAATGAATGAAGGTGGAAAATGGGGGGGGGGCAGCAGGATAGGAAGAGCTTGTGGGGGGGGCAGCAGGATAGGAAGAGCTTGTGGGGGGGGAAGGCAGCAGGATAGGAAGAGCTTGTGGGGGGGGGGCAGCAGGAAAGGAAGAGCTTGCAAGGGGGGGGGGGGCGCAGCAGGATAGGAAGAGCTTGCATGGAGGGGGGGGGCAGCAGGATAGGAAGAGCTTGTGGGGGGGGGGCAGCAGGATAGGGGGGGGGGGGGCAGCAGGATAGGAAGAGCTTGTGGGGGGGGGGGGCAGCAGGATAGGAAGAGCTTGCATGGGGGGGGGGGGCAGCAGGATAGGAAGAGCTTGCAAGGGGGGGGGGGGGCAGCAGGATAGGAAGAGCTTGCAATGGGGGGGGCAGCAGGATAGGAAGAGCTTGCATGGGGGGGGCAGCAGGATAGGAAGAGCTTGCATGGGGGGGCAGCAGGATAGGAAGAGCTTGCATGGGGGGGGCAGCAGGATAGGAAGAGCTTGCATGGGGGGGGCAGCAGGATAGGAAGAGCTTGCATGGGGGGGGGCAGCAGGATAGGAAGAGCTTGTTTGGGGGGGGCCAGCAGGATAGGAAGAGCTTGCATGGGGGGGGCAGCAGGTAGGAAGAGCTTGCATTGGGGGGGGGCAGCAGGATAGGAAGAGCTTGCATGTGGGGGGGGGCAGCAGGATTAGGAAGAGCTTGCATGGGGGGGGGCAGCAGGATAGGAAGAGCTTGCATGGGGGGGGGCAGCAGGATAGGAAGAGCTTGCATGGGGGGGGGGCAGCTGGAATAGGAAGAGCTTGCATGGGGGGGGGCAGCAGGATAGGAAGAGCTTGCAATGGGGGGGGGCAGCAGGATAGGAAGAGCTTGCATGGGGGGGGGGCAGCAGGATAGGAAGAGCTTGCATGGGGGGGGCTGCAGGATAGGAAGAGCTTGCATAGGGGGGGGGGGGCAGCAGGATAGGAAGAGCTTGCATGGGGGGGGGGGCAGCAGGATAGGAAGAGCTTGCATGGAGGGGGGGGCAGCAGGATAGGAAGAGCTTGCATGGGGGGGGCTAGGAGAGGGGTAGGAAGAGCTCTGCATGGGGGGGGGCAGCAGGATAGGAAGAGCTTGCATGTCGGTGGGGGGGCAGCAGGATAGGAAGAAGCTTGCATGGGGGGGGGGGCAGCAGGATAGGAAAGAGCTTGCATAGGGGGGGGGGCTCAGCAGGATAGGAAGAGCTTGCATGGGGGGGGGGGCAGGATAGGAAGAGCTTTTGTGCAATGGGGGGGAGGCGTTGGGGCTGCAGGATAGGAAGAGCTTGCACATATTGGGGGGCGGGCAGGATAGGAAGAGGATGCCATAGGGGGGGCTTGAGCAGCAGGATAAGGAAGAAGCTTTGCATGGGGGTGGAGGGGGATGGGGGGGGCATGGATAGGAAGAGCTTGCATAGGGGGGGGGTAGGCGAGCACAGGATAGGAAGAGCTTGCATGGGGGGTGGGGGCAGGATAGGAAAGAGGCTGGCGATGGGGGGGGGCAGGATAGGAAGAGCTTGTATGGTGGGGTGGGGGCAGGATAGGAAGAGATGCTGTGCATGGGGGGGGGGCAGGGATAGGATGAGCTGCTTGTATGGAAATGTCACACTTGAGGGGCAGAGAGGAAGTAGCTTGCACGTTGGGGGGGGGCAGGATATGAAGAGCTGCAGTAAGGAAATGTCACGCATGCAAAGGAGAGGTGTCCCCGTATGGGGAGATTTAGAGAGAATGATTTTTAAATCGTCGGATCCTCCTTTAATTATTATTACCTATACACAGAATACAGGGAATCTGGGATCAGAAGGATTGGGGGGGGGGTGTATGGGGGGGGGGGGTGAGAGGGTCCTCGGGCTATTGGGGGGGGTGTGAGGTGGTCCTCTGTTTGGGGGGTTTATATGGGGGTCATGAGGGGCGGGGGGTTGTGGGGTCTCGGGTTTTTATTTTTTTGGAGTTCCTCTGTCTGGGGGTGGTATTCTGGGTCCTCTGTATGGGGGGGAATGAGGGGTCCTCTGTATGTTTCTGTTTTTATTTTTTTGTTCTGGTATTGGGGTATGTTGTATGTTTTCTCTTATGGGGGGGGGGGTATGCTCTTGATGGGCGGTATGAGGGGTCTTCTGTTGGGGGGATTCTGGGTCCCCTGTATGGGGGGGATAAGGGGTCCTCTGTATGGGCGGATGGGGGTTTCTGTATGGGGGGTATTTCTGGGTCCTTGTAGGGGGGGGGATGAGGGGTCTTGTTGGGGGGGGGGGATGAGAGGTCCCCTGTTGGGGGGGTTGAGGGGTCCTCTGTATGGGGGGGGGTATTTTAGGGTCCCCTGTATGTGGGGTTTCTGGGTCCCCTTATGGGGGGGGGGTGAGGGGTCCTCTGTTGGGGGGGATGAGGGGTTTTTCCCGTATGGGGGGTTGAGGGGTCCTCTGTATGGGGGGCATGAGGGGTCCTCTGTATGGGGGGGGAGAGAGGCCCCCCGTAGGGGGGGGTATTTGGGTCTCTGTATGGGGGGGGGTGAGGGGTCCCCTGTAGGGGGGGGTTTAGGGGTCC